ACATTAATCAAGATATTAATATACCTAGTCGTAATTTCGGAGGAATGGCAATATTAAACTTAACCGGAACTTTTATACGTATACGTAGATTTCTCATCCAAGAAAGGGGGACAGAGAATTCCATATCAATAAAAGTATTGATCTTTTGGTCACATTTTCGGAGCACAAAGCTACAGAAACTTAGCAGTCTAGTGGGCATATTTTAAACATGCTTTCTATATTTTAGCATAGAAATTAAGTATATAACATCATCATGCCGTCTGTGTGTTTGCGTGTGCTCCAAACGTCTGAATCAGTTGGCCAATTTATACTAAATTTGTTGTCAACTTTATCCCATAAGAGGAGATCGAAAACAAATACAAATTTTGCAACACAGTGAATGTGCGAATTTCTGAGGTGGGAGCTACAGTAGCGCTACCTAATCATCAGTCCTAAAATTATGCATTTTAATATTTATTCGAAAGATATCAAATTGCTGATGAAATAATTTTTGTAGAATCTAATACAAGAACATATTTGCAGTATGAAATTATTATTTAACTCTCAGGTTAATGCCAAAAACTAAAAAATCGTAGATGCCGCAATTTAAATAAGGTACGAAGGGAGGTAATAAATATATCTACAGTGTTTGTATGTATGTTAACAATTGCAAATATGCTGGTTAGAAATCTGACGTTAATTATTTTTTTTAAATTCGCTTAGTGGGGGGTGGAGTCCAGCTGGGTCCACCCGGCACGGCGCCCACTTGACCAGACCCGGGATGGAACCCGGGCCTCCGCGGTGGGAAGCCAGCGACTAAACGCTTGAGCTATGGCGCGGCCTCAATCTGAGGTTATGTTTCATAGACTTGGGGTAGACAACGTTTGTACCGAAATAATTATTTCTTCCATATTAGGATGATAACAACATTAATGATGATAATAATATAGTAGTAATAATAATAAAAATTATCTGAAACATATTCGTAAGCCTAATTATATACACTAAAATATTTTGTAATTGAAATTCTCACAGCGGTGGCCATGAATACGATGTCCCTGGCTGTAGCACCATGGACTCGTTGTTCGGCAAATCCACCGATATTCTGGAGGAACATGGCGGCTCCATTTTCAGGACTGAAGAGTAAGTCAAAGAAAAGTCTGCAAGAAGCAAACAGCAAACAAAGCCGATGCTCCTACCGCCAGCTTATTGCTGGTTTCTTGCTTAGCTTATTGTTCCACTCTGAAGATGGAGGCGATATTTTAATCCGAAACATCGACGGATTTCTACACAACCATAATGCGATAAAAGAATGAACAGAGTACATTTCTAAAAAATTTACTTGACTGGGATTCGATCGTTTGACCACACATGCAAACGACTCCAGCTTTCTAGCCCATTAGCTAAATTGTATTTCAATGCTGATACAAAATTTATATTACCTGCACAATATCTGTAGAATCAGAGGTCTGAAATATGAAAGAATATATTTTATTTTTATTATTCGAAATGAACATTGAGAGAGTGAATTTTACGGAAGTACATTTGCACAGTGCCATCATCCAGAAACAATATCCACATTATTGCTGAGTTTTAATTCTTTTTACAGTAATGGTAATGATATATCACGGTGTAAAGTTTCGGGTCAAAATTCGGTGTTCACATACGTTTTGTTGGTTTAAATGACATGTGGGTATTAGGCCGTGAGTGCGTAGGATTTAGTGAAATATATTAGGCTGAAATATTCAGAGACTGTAAAATTTGTTGGGTGAAATATTCTCGAATTTCAGCTGAAACAAAGTAAAGGACTTTAAAATGTATACATATATACCGAGAAAAGTACATAGGATATATAACACTGTACATATGCGTAGGATGATCAAAGGGCTCCCATAATTCAGGCATAAATTTTAGTGAAAAACAGGAAAATAATCTTGAAGCTTTGAAGCTGCTGCAACAGCTTTTTCCTTTTCAGAGATGGCTTTGAGCTTTTCTTTACGCTGATCTGAAATTTGCTTCTTTTCATTGGCAGTGAGAAAATGCGGTTCATCTGAGATGGATGACTGGACACAGATTTTCTTTTTACTTCCTCCCTTCTTTCCTTTCCTACTGATGGTATCACTGACAATGTTTCTAGGTTTTGCTTGCTGCTGGGAAACATCTACTTGCTCCTTGAACATTCGAATTGCCACTTCTGCAGAAATGCCTCTCTGAAAAGCCCGTCGTCGTGGCATTGGCGGTGGATCAATTACCAATGCCCTAACACTAAGTTTTGGTTTCTTAACTGATTCTTCACATTTCAATTTCACTTGATCTGTTTTCAATAAATCACCAGGTAACATTTCTTTCTGTATCATTTCACCGTCAGTTGTAGCTTGCAGCAGATCAACATCCTGCAAGGACTCTTCTCTTAATCCACTGTCCCTTTTCTCTTTCTCTGCTTTCAGTTGTTGTGGACGCAACTCTGAGATTGGTTCAGGTTCAAGATCTTGCTGTGAGAGCCTTCTGAACCACTGATCATCATTTAAATTTGATTCATCATCTTCAAACACTACTACATCTTCATCATCATCTTCAAGAACTTTAGTATACAACAGATCTTCACGAACTGCATCCTGATCTTCTGTTTTAAGTAACTCCAAATCTATCTTCTGGTCATCAAATATCTGTGATGATGGGAAGTACTCTTCATCATCACTAATAACAATTATGTCTTCATCAAGTGTATAATTTACGGACTCAGTGTCGGGTTTTGAAACAACCAATCCATTTGATTTCAATGCATTCTCATCTAGCCTTTCCAATTTCACAACTGCCTTGGTTCTCTGAATACTGGCAAGTAATTGATCATCAAGTGTCATTCTTTTCACATAGTTTGAATTACTGACTCTGATTTTGTTGGCCTGTGCAATCTCTTCCCCCCTGTCATCATCCACAGAGTGGACTGATGTTTCTGGCCTGTTGTTATGTGTCTTAATCTCATCTACAGATTCTGTGCTGCTTATCCTAGAGGACTTATCATGAACATCAGTATTACTTTCTGGGGTAGATGATAATGTCTTTTGGGCTTTCAGCGGACAAGGACAAGAGTTGTTCTTCACCTTGGTTT